ATCTAAGATCATTCACTGTCGTCGCCAGAAAATGACGATTCCTGACGATTCGCAAACCTAGGATCTGAGATCCTTCTCTCTCTCTCTCTCTCTCTCTCTCTCTCTCTTCTACTTCTTCTCATGATCATCAGTTTTCGAACTTTGTCTCATTGTTTCTCTTTCTTCTTCTCATGATGCTCTGTTCTTTGAACAGTAAAATTTTACTCTAGTTCATGATACATCACTCTTCCGTAAAGCTATTCTCGTAGCTTGTTTCAAAGTAAAATTTTACTCTGTATCCAAAAAAAAAAAAAAAAAAAAAAAAAAATTTTACTCTAAATCAAAGTGAAATTTACTGTGATTCAAAATAAAATTTTATTATCGTTAAGCAAATCAACATGTTGTTAAACACGAGAAAAATTTTATTGTTACAAAAAATAGAGTACATACTAAATGAACGAACCAGAGTTAAATTTTACTTTTAGATCTATGAACAAACAAACAAACAAAAAAAAAACTCTTGATTTTTCATTGCAATATTTCAATTTTTTATTTTTTATTTTTTATTATCAAATCTAAGTTTTTTTAATCTCAGATCCAATGTTATTGAAAGTTCTAATTTTTTTTTTTTTTTTTTTGTCCTTTTAACAAGAAAAAAAAGTTAGAAGGAGTTTATGACCAAATTTCACATACTCTAAATTTCACAACTTAATTTATGTAACTTAGTTTATAATGTAATATATATATATATACACACATATTTATATATAGTGAATCCAGATCCATATCCACCATTAACATCCCATCCAAGAAAAGAAAGCACCAAAATCTTACATTACTTTGTTGATTATTTCATTGATTGATTGTTTTTTCTAACATTAGATGTATAATGTGATGATCTTGATGTTGATCCAAGAAGAGTAACAGAGGAAAGAATACAAAAAGGAATTAATAATACCATTGGGTTCACAATCAATGTAATTAACAATGCCTTCAAAAGTCTATACAACGTTTCCTTTGCCAAATACATTATTGAAGCTCTGCTATAAATTGATTTCAATGGTGAAAAGTGGAAAAGTCACAAATAGATGGATGGAGTCGGTAAATTATTTTGCCGAGAAGGTCGTTTTTGCCTCGGGTGCTATTTTTTTTTCATATTGAAGCTCTTTGAGATGAAGCAAATCTTCCATACTATAGTGGGCTCTCAAACATGGAGATCACACTCACGGAGGCATTGGGAGAGCGTGACAGGGCAACCAGGGTGAGACCAAGCAGTGCGTAGGCTTACATTATGTCAATTTTTAATCTTTCACATGATTATGTAAAGTGTCATTCCAAATCATATTATGCTTGATTTCTTAGTATTTTACATGAATCATGCAAAAAGTGTCATTCCGAATCATAATATACTTATGAGAGATCTTGAAATTTTTTTATTTTTTTATTTTTGAAACAAGACTCTTTACGCTATAATTTGAGAAAAATTAGACGTACGTAATTTTAATTTCATGTATCAACGGACTATTTTATAGTTTCAACCCACCACCAATAATTAGGTCACCTTAGAATAAATTTGTTTCTATATTAATCAATGAATTATGTATTAAAAATGGAGAAACTAATAGTAAATTAATACAATTTGTTTGAAAATTTCTCCACAAATGAAAGAAGAAGAAAAAAGAGAAATTTACCTATAAATCCTATTTGTTGAACTTATGATCCAAATAGTCCCATATGTTTTTTAATGTTCCATTTGGTCCTTTCGTTTGTGAAAAGACAATAGTGCCATCTAGTATGGGTTTTTAGTGTAAGCGTGGCAAGTGTAATTGATTGCGCGCGTGTTACATGGTTATTGGGTTTGGGTGATGGGTACGTGCATACCGGGTGGGTGTCACACAACATAAGAGCGCATTAAGGGTTATTTTGCTTTATTGGTTATGTGGGTCAATTGGCATGTGCCACACAACACCAACTCGCACACACTATCCACCATATCATCAAATTGAAATGAGGCTTGCAAACTGATAGTAGCATTGGTATTGCCATAGCAACAAATCAACATTACATGTGTCTCCATACCTTGTCATGGGAAAAATAATTTGAGAAAATCACATTTACAATGCAATACACATCGATACACACACCCACACACCAGGGAAATGCCCTCGTCACCAAACCACAGTAACACGACGCCCACCCCAAAAACAGAACACACTAGCAACCCTGCTCCGCATACCCCTCACAGTCACACAATCCCCCAATGTAAAGAAACCAATGCACTGCTACGGAGGTGCCGACTTGCAAACAAACGGAGGTGCCGATGTCTGAACTGCTACGTATGTGACACCAGCGTCTCTATCTCCCTGACAATGGAATACAAATCAATACAATCACAAATAGGATGCAAAAAACATAGACACACAACCCACACACCATGAAAATGCACACACCAGTAAATACATACACACAAAAACTACACATCAAAAAAATGCACATACCAGGAAAATGCACATGCAAAGAAAACACATCTGCACAACCACACCCATCCTAAAAACATAACACACAAACCCCTCGAAACACACAACCCACAGTCACACAAGCCACACACCAGACTGAGTCAACGTTGCAAAGAACGAAACATCAACGGAAGCTTTAACATCGGTATGCCACCAACACAAAAAAAATCGACGTTGCAAAAAAACACTGTGAAACACCGCACCGACACACAACCGTCACAGCAAAACACCGCGAAACATCAATTTTTCTAGGCAACCAAACAAAAAAGAACCAATTTTCTTCAATTTTCCATAATTTTCTTAATCTCAAGTAAACAAACCCACAAAAATTACTCAATTCTCAGGCAGTTGAATTGGATTTACCTCTTTGGTTTCCTGAATTTCTCTCTCTAGGGCCATCGAACAACAGATTGAGTCTCAAATCAAAGGAATTAGGTCAAGTTAGAATTAGGGTTTCAGAGAATAAGAAAAAGAAGAAGAAGAAGGGGAAGGACAACGAAAGATGAGAGGCAGAGAGAGAGAGATGAGATTGCATCAACTGATTTCTATATAAGATGCCATTGAAAATTGGTGTTGGGTTTGTTGTTGTAGGGTTGTCCTAAGTGTAATTCCCCAGCATGTTTGTGAGAATAAGAATTACAATGGAATAGCCATTAATGGACAGAGAGAGAATATGAAAGAGAGATTGAGAGAGAGAGAGTGAGAGAGAGAGAGAGAGAATTATTATGTGGAGTGGTTTGTTTGTTTGCTAGACGTATGAGTTAACAATCAAACACATCCAAATCAACAAAATGAAGGGTATAATCGTCCACGCCACAACGCCATACATGGAAAATAGGATCAAAAGGAATAAATCTCTCCACCTCTAGGACTTATCCGATCAAAAGTTTAAAGTTGGAACTGATTGGTATAATTGTTTATGAGATGGGATTTAGTGGTAAATAATCCAAGAAAAAAATAGCAATATGAAAAACACAAAAATTGGAAACGCCCCTTCTACCTAATGGCTTTTCCAATTTATTTTCGCATTAATTCTAGTAAATAAAAAATTCTAACAATGGAATATTTATAATTTCCAAAATTATAAGGACAACTTGTATTTTAAATAAATCTTATAATATTGTCATCTTTTTTATATTAAAATATATATTTAAGATTGTGGGGCTTGTTGTATTGAAATATGGTTGTTAAAAAAATGACCAAAATGGAGTGTATTGAAAGGACAATAAGAGACATAATTGAAGACAACTAGGGGAAGGTTTTGCATAGCAGCCACATACATTAGTGCTTGGCTAAGTCCCATTGACAAGAGCTAGTTGTTGGTAGTCCTAAAGCAATATAAGGATTATTTTGCGTGGTCTTATAATGAACTGCGTGGATTAGATAGGTCATTAATGGAACACAGGCTCCCTATGAAGCCTAATTTCAAGCCACACAAGCAGAAACCAAGGTGAATGAGACTTGAAGTGGTTCAAAAAGTGAAAGAGGAGATTCTTAGGCTCCTTAAGGTAGGTTTCATTAGAACAACCAAGTATGTTGAATGATTGTCTAATATTGTGTTTGTGGTTAAAAAGAATGGCAAGATGAGGGTATGCATCGATTTTAGAAATCTGAATTTGGCAACTCCAAAAAATGAATACGCCATGCCTATAGTTGATCTATCGGTAGACAGTCCAGCAGGGCACAAGATTTTGTCTATGATGGATGGACATTCTAGTTACAACTAGATCTGCATTGTAGAGGAGAATGTCCACAAGATAGCATTTAGGTGTCCTGGAAATGTTGGCACTTTCGAATGGGTGAAAATAATATTTGGTCTAAAGAATGCTGGGGCAACATATCAGAGGGCAATGAATACTATCTTTCATGATCTTATTAGAGGATACCTAGAGTGTTACATTGATAATCTTGTTGTAAAGTCTAAGTCTATAGAGGAACACGTGGTTCACTTGGTAGCAGCTTTCGAAAGAATAAGAAATGGTAGACTCTCAAACGGTAATTTCTTAAGTTCAAAGTTTTCAATTAATTTTGCATGATATTCATGCTGAGGGTATGGCTCTAAGCGAGTCTTTTCAAGTTGTTGCTTTAGTGGAAAAATTACCACCAGTTTGGAACGATTTCAAAAATTATTTAAAACATAAACGCAAAGAGATGACCATGGATGAACTTATTGTAAGACTGAGAATTGAGGAAGATAACCATAAGACTGAAAAGAGAAATGGGAAAAAACCCATTGAGTACAAGGCTAATGTGGTTGAACAAGTGCCCAAATCACATAACAAAAAGATGAAGTTTGTTGGAGATGGTCCTAAATAAAGCGACAACAATGGCAATAAGAAATTCAAAGGAAAATGCTATTATTGTGGCAAGACCGGACATCGAGCCTCTGATTGCCGCCGACCTAAAAAGGATCGTGGAAGTACAAGCAAGAAGACTACCAATCAAGCCAATGTGACAGAATTAGATTACATCGCGGACGGGGTAAATGACATCAATCTCTTTACTATGGTGTTTGAGGCTAATTTGGTTGGAAATCCCAAGGAATGGTGGGTTGACACAGGAGTAACTCATCACATTTGCGCGGACAAGAAGATGTTCACTACTTATAATGAGGCTACAAATGGTGAGCAACTATTCATGAGAAATTCATCTACTTCTGTTGTGGCTAGACAAGGGAAAGTAATCTTGAAGATGACATCGGGGAAGGAACTAACCCTCAACAACGTGCTGCATGTACCAAACATTCGAAAGAATTTAGTTTATGGTTCTTTGTTAAGTAAGAATGGTTTGGAGCTTGTATTTAAGTCTGATAAATTTGTATTAACAAAGAGTGGTATGCATGTTGGTAAAGGATACATGAGTGATGGTCTCTTTAAGTTAAATGTAATGACTATTGTACAAAAACTTTCTATTAATAAGAATAACACATCTTTTACTTATATTCTTGAGTCAAATTTATGGCATGATAGATTAGGACATGTAAATTTTGATTTTTTGCGTAGATTAATTGGTTTGGATTATATACTAATGTTTGAAATTAATCCTAATCACAAATGTGAGATTTATGTAGAAACGAAACTAACTAAGACTTCATTTAAATCGATTGAAAGAAAAACCGAACCTCTAGAATTAATTCATACTGATGTATGTGATCTTAAATTTGTTCAAACTAGAGGAGACAAAAAGTATTTCATAACATTTATCGATGATTGCACAAGATATTGTTATGCATATTTATTTAGAAGTAAAGATAAAGCCTTGGAAATATTTAAACTCTACAAAACAGAAATTGAAAATCAACTTAATAAAACCATTAAAATGGTTAGAAGTAATAGAGGTGGTGAATATGATGCACATTTAAATGAATTTTGTGTACAACATGGCATTATTCATCAAATTACAACACCTTATTCTTCACAGTAAAATGGAATTGTTGAAAAGAAGAATAGAACTCTTAAAGAATGATGAATGCCATGTTACTAAGTTCAGGCTTACCGCAGAACTTGTGAGGGGAAGCAATATTGTTTGCTAATTATGTTCTTAATAGAATACCCCACAAAAAAACCAACAACACTCTTTATGAATTGTAAAAAGGTCAACCATTTTTCTACAAATACTTAAAAGTGTGGGGGTGTTTGACAAAGGTAGAAGTTCCTATTCTGAAAAAGACTAAAATAGGATAAAAAACAGTGGATTGTGTGTTTATTGGTTATGCTCAGAATAGTAGTGCATATCGATTTCTGGCTTATAAATCAGAAATACTTGATATAAATGTGAACACTATTATAGAGTCAAGGAATGCTGTATTTTTTGAACATGTTTTTCCTTATAAAAAATGACAGGAATTAAGTTCACATAAAAGAAGTTATGATTGTACACAAAGTCAAGAGACTAATGACAATCAAACGCAAGAGACTAGTAATGGTCTCGACCAACAGGATTTAACTGATGTTGAACCAAGAGAAACTAAGAGAACGAGAACATCAAAATCCTTTGGTCTAGATTTTCTAACATACCTGTTAGAAAATGAACCCCAAAGCTTTAAGGAAGCATTGACAAGTCTTGAAGCACCTTTCTGAAAAGAGGCTGTTAATAATGAAATTAAATCCATTATGCAAAATCATACTTAGGAATTGGTGGATCTTCCACCCGGTTCTAAACCTCTTGGATATAAATGGATATTCAAGAGAAAAATAAAAACAGATAGTTTAATAGACAAGTATAAAGCAAGACTTGTGGTAAAAAGTTACAGACAAAAAGAATGTCTGAACTAGTTTGACACATATTCCTTTGTGACAAGAATAACATCCATCCACATGCTTATTGCTATAGCAGCGTTGTATGACTTAGAAATAAATCAAATGGACGTTAAGACAGCTTTCTTAAATGGTGATCTAAATGAAGAGGTCTATATGAAGCAACCTGAAGGAGTTGTAGTGCTAGGGCAGGAAAAGAAAGTTTGTCGGCCTATAAAATCTTTTTATGGATTTAAACAAGCTCCTAAACAATGGCATGAGAAATTTGATCATGCTATGCTTACTAATGGGTTTAAGATAAACAAATGTGACAAGTGCGTCTATGTTAAAAACACTGACAAAGGTTATGTCATTGTTTGTCTTTATAAGGATGACGTGCTTAGCATTGGAAGCAGTTAAAACATGATCAAATTAACTAAGCAAACGCTAAATAAAAGATTAAATATGAAAGATATCGCAGATATAATATTAGGAATGAAAATTAATAAAATATCTGATGGGTATGCATTATCTCAATCTCATTATATTGAAAAAATTCTTGATAAATATATCAAGGATGATATGAATGTAGCAAGAATACCTGTAGACATCAGTCTTTATTTATTGAAAAATAAAGGTGATACGGTGTCTCAGCTTAAATTCTCCCAAATCATTGGAAGCCTAATGCACCTAATGAATTGTACTTGTCCTTATATAATTTATGCTGTCAGTAAATTGAGTAAGTACACTAGTAACCCCGGAAAAGACCATTGAAAAGTAATCATTCGGGTTCTTAGATATCTAAGACTTACCCGTAATCATGGTTTGAACTTTACTCGATATCCTGCAGTACTGGAAGGCTATTGTGATACCAATTGGATATCCGATACTAAAGATTCAAAATCCACTAGTGGATATATCTTTACTCTAGGGGGCGTTGTTGTTTCTTGGAAATCCACGAAACTAACATGCATCGCACGATCCACAATAGAATCTGAATTCATTGCTTTAGACAAAGCAAGAGAAGAAGTAGAATGGTTTCACCATTTTTTAGAAGACAATCTAATGTACCCAAAACTTGTGCCAACTATTTGTATTCGTTATGATAGACAATCTGCAATAAGCAGGGCACAAAATCATATGTACAATGGTAAGTCACGACATATTCGTCGCCAACATAATACCGTTAGGCAATTGCTCTCAAATGGAATAATCTCAATAGATTATATAAAATCTAAAGAAAATATTGCGGATCCGTTAACAAAAAGTTTGACAAAAGAGCAAGTGTATAGTTCATTCGAGGGAATGGGATTAAAGTCAATTACATAAGAGTCATCGTAATGGTAACTCTACTTAAATAACTGGAGATCCCAAGAACTAAGTTCAAAGGGACAACTGAGTTATGTGTGGCTTGCCAAAAATCACCAATGGATTAAAATTCCCTACCCATTCATGTGGTGAGAGTGATATCTGCAACATGTGTTGTATGCAGGGGTTTAAGGATAAACTTTGCTTTTAATGATTACTTATATCTTGATTTAGGCATAAAAACCAAGACGAATATAAGAGATACTCACAATAAGAATCACCCATATGAGTGTCGAACTAGCGCCGGTTCTATGAGAATGAAAAGGCTAAGTTCTCTAGAAACACTCATGAACAACCAGGAGCGTTCAAGGCCAAAATGAACACAACCGTAAGAACCACAATGCGTTAGAAGATATTTTTTATGAAATCTATTTTCTTGGCTTACACACACAGCTGAACAATTCAAGGCATCATGTCTATTGGTTAGCTAGTAAGTCCGATAGGTTATCACTAGAGAAGGTTCAAGGTTGAAAGCTGTCTATCCTGATGCAAGATATTTTCGATTTATACTCTTTTGACAAATTCTACATATTGTTGCATTTTTGTTGTCATCAACTTCCATTTATGTGGGGGATTGTTAGAAATGATTTTGGAAAAAACAATTTTTTTCTCAACTTTGGTATAATTTTTAGGTAAGACCCATGCGCCAAAGTTGGCGGGTCTAAGTGGTAACGCGTTCTATGCCACGTTGTGATTCACGTAGTATATTTGGTTGCTTCAAACCATTATCGAGTGAATGGGAAATTGAAGCCAAAGTTAGCTCCATGGAAATAGAGTTTTTGGTGAAATTTTCATAAAGGTTTAAGTTAAGGGTTGTCCCACATTGGTTTGGTAGGCAAACTTTTGTGGGTTTATAAAGTTTGGATTTGGAACTTGGGCTAGGCCCCAAGGGGCACTCAAGTTTTGTAGAGATGGAGGTTATGGACAAAGTGGGCTAGACCTATTCGACCCAAAATAAACACGTGTGCATGTCGCCGTCCGGTTAGTCGAGCGAGCTGGACTGGGCTTGGGTGCGAGTGCGTGGTGTGAAGTTGGGTTAGGCTTGTCCGGCCCAATACTAATTCTTTTTTAGCCAAAAACATTTGAATTTTTTTATTTTTTGTTTGGAAAATAAATTCTGTATAGGTTTTTATTTCAAATTTCGGTTGAAAAAAAAAATTCAAATCTGGCTTACACCTCTTCAAATTTTTGTACAAGTTCATATATGTCCGCATAGATTCAAATCTGTTCAAATTCAAAACCCAAACAGTGCCATATCTATTCATTTAAACCGAATAGGTCTTGTACCTATTCTAACAGATTTGCTACTTGTTCATTCAAATCTGAATAGCCACCTTTGCACCTATAAATAGACAAGTCTCTCATTTCGATTTTCATTCAATTTTTGTCCTAAATTCTGCCATTGCTCTCTCTGCATTTTGCTACATTATTTTCTTGTGAGAATAAATACAAAGTGTATTCGTTGTGCGAATAATTTGTAGTGCTGCTATTATTTGTTGTTGATCATTTTATCTTGAGAGATAGACGTTCACATTCTGAAAGTATCATGGAGAAAACAAATCTGTTTTAAGAATACAGTGTTAAACACTAAACTTGATCAAAAATTTGCTCGACAAATAAATAAGGCAAGTAATTAATTTACTTTTTGTTTATTTATTTTTATCAGATTCTGATTTTGTTTTTGTAACAAAACAAGAATCAGTTTTTTATTTTCTTTTCTTTACTGGTTTGATTTTTATAATCAAACAGTTTCTCTCCTTTCTTTAATTCTTGGAATACAATGAAGATTGTCCAACATATTTTATTTTATTTATAAATTGACATTTAATATTTTGTTTTCTCAAACTCGAATACAAAAGTGGTGAATCTTATGATTTAGACCAATAATTACTAATTTGGAATACCACCTAGACTTGTTATTATTGTTGATTTCATAATTGAATAATGTGGGTGTTGATTTTTGACCTCACACAACCAAACAAATCTCTCTACCGAGATCTAGGAAATTTAGTAGGACAGCACACGACAATATAGATTAAGCCAATTACCTACACACAAGAAAGTAAGAAATGCCACGGTGACTCATCCACCCAAGAACACTCTGACAATCAAGTCAGTATCTTATCTGACAAAATATCAACACAATTACACAACTCACAAGTAAAAGCATACATTAGAAAAGAATACCTTAAATCCACAGAGTGCCTTACTTTTATAGTCAACAATGCCT